GGAAGCAGGAGAATGGCTGGAGGTAACATTTACATTCTGCCTCATGGGCATCCAGCTCACTGCTGTTTCTGCACATCCACTCACTGCTTCTCCCACCTTTTCCATTTCATGCTCTCCCTCTTGAGAGGACTCCCCTCCTCATCCAATTGAAAAGCTCCTGACTAGGATGAGACATGCATCCAGAAAAACACCTTGAGTACACAGCTATCATCCTCTCCACAAACCCCTTCTCTCCCAATTCACATAGTTTGTACTCTCCTAACACAGCAAAATTAAAAATAAACTGTTCTTCCTCTCAGCTACTCTGTAAAGCAAACAGTTAAAACCCTCCACTGCACAGTTTTTACCCTAAGTAAATCTTAAGTCTCTGGTATCTTTTTAACCACAATAACAAGGTCAGTTCTCTCAGTAGGCTGGAATGCTTCTCCCCAACCAGGAACATGCACCCCAGGGAATGGGTGAGTGGCTGATACCAGTCCTGCACAACATCCCTCACATCACAGGAGCTTCACTTTCATTTCACGGAGCATTTCCAGCTGCCCCCGGTGGATAAAACCCCATAGAATCATAGATCTCTTGGTCTGTAATCTGTGGCAGACAGATTGAGTGATGTGGACCTGTTGGCACCACAGGGCAAGCCAAAAACTGAAAACCAGAATGCTCAGTGAAAAGGGATTGACCCTTGGGACAAACTCATGCACACATTTATACACAGAGCTAAGTGAGCAGAATGCTTGAAAAGAAAGGCTACGGGATCCAGTCGAGAAAGTGCAAGGGATAGAGTCATACATGATCAGTGTTTGCATCAGAAGCTAATTTTGTACTCCAGGATTTGATTCAGCCACCAGCATCACAAGTCATGGAGTTTCCCATAAAAACTAAATCTGGATATAGACCTAGAGGAAACCTTGAATTTCCACTTTACTGGCAATTGGTTACTGTGATATCTTTTCATTCAGGATGAAAGTATATTTGTAAGATTTTCATATTTAAAAATGCTTGGATTTATCTTATTGAATGATTGGATGTTTGTAACAGTGCATAAACTGCTAGGTATATGGCATAATACTTAAAGGAATCATTTTCATAATCAGTAAGAATATCTTTTACTTAATGTTGGTTTAACTATCTATTGCTTTGTATTCAGAGTGTTTACAGTGTCACAGTAGTCCCAGAAGGAGAAACCATTCAGGTGCCAAATTCTTTCAGTGTAGCAAACAACAGAACTCTCCAAAGGATAACTTGTTCCCACTGGAAATTAAGACATAAAGTAAAATGTTTCAAGCCTTACCCAGAACACTGTTACTGACATGGTGTAAAACATTAGCAATAACGTAAAAATGAAATCTTTTATGGGTCAAAATGAAGCTTCTGAACTCAGAAATGAAATTCTGAAAAATTCCAAAAGGAAACATCTTGGAAAACGTCTACTTCAAAGTGTCTTTGTTCATTCTGGACCTTCATTATATTTTACAATTAAAATTGTTTTAATTTCATCTTATTTCACTTTTCATCAAAAACTGTAACAAAAAAAAGTCCAGCCAGCTCCTATTTTGTAATGCACATTTGAACTGGCATTTCCTGAGCTTAAGAAAAAAAAAGCATTCAATTTTACTTATATGAATAAGGATGCTCTATATCCCATGTATAAATACTACTTTTCTACAGCTCTTCTCTTTGACATAAGATAGTTTAACACTCACAGCCAGGGAGAAGTTCTGCTGGTAACCTACAACCTGTCACAAACCCACATATTCAGCAATAATCATATCAGCTGTCAGGGCACAGTGAGGACTAGTGGGTCCATGAAGGATGGTGAACCAGGATCTGAGCAGGATAACAAGGCAGGTGGAAGCAGCACCTTCAGCCAAGGATCCAGGATGCGGAGTGGCAAATCTGGGTCGTTACCAGAGCCAGACATTGTCCAGTGCTCTGTCAGGAGATCTACAGGGACGCAAGGCTCTTCCCAGCAGTGGAGCTTCCCTTGGAGCCAGTTAAATACTTTACCTCTGCCAAGTCCCCTCCTAGAAAGGGAATGCACATCTATCTGGCCCTGACATCAGTAACACAACAACATATCCCTAGCAGCTAAAACGAGGAATACAGTTGAATGAAATATGCATTTTATGTGAAGAAGTTATTCGAGAGCATGAAAGAGTGACTATATTATAAAAAACAAAAATCTGTTACTGTTACTTTCTTAAAACGCACCAACATGCTTCTTAATTACATATAAAATAAGTAAGGGCTATAGGGAAATATTTGTAAGGAAAAATCATGCATCAAAATTAAAGCACGTAAGAAGAGCCTGGGAAACCTCAGTGTATGCTTGCCAGATAGACATGTTCCAAAGGTTTCCATAGAGTCACATGACATGTTTAATGTCATTACAATGCAGGTTTTAATGCACATGGAAAATACACCAAGTAAAGCTAAAGTATCATCCTTTTTTTTCCTAAAACAATTCCACTGAGAGCAATGGAAATCTTACCATGCATGTCAGCAGGCCTTGCCCAGGCTGAGCGCTACATGCAACATTGATTTCTGCCTCCAGCAAGGGTCCACCTCTGGGGGTCAGCAACTGGAGGGTGAAATAAATGAGGGGCTCATTCATTTCCAGTCCCTCCACCATTTCTTACCCAGTTCCTTGCAGGGGTAAATATAAGATGTGCAGTCTTTGCTCCTTGCAGGACAGCTAAAGACCTTACAAACTAGCCTTGTTCCACTTGCCCAAATGGTGAAATAGGGACTGTTGCAAGTCTGACAATACAACTAATTTCATTTCTGTCTTGTATAGAAAGAGTTGCAAAAATATATCCCAAAGAACACAAAAACTGGGGGAAATAAATGTTTTCTCCATTGCCTTTATTTTTCATCTTAAATTTTAATAGGAATTGAGACTGCTTAAATGGTCTACACGTCAAATCAATCTTTACAAACATGCTGTGACTTCCAGCTAAAATAGGAGTATTTGGCATCTGAAAAAGTTTCCCACCTCCTCAAAAGGCCTCTTTTCACGTTTCTGAGGAAATCAAACATTAGAGACTTTCAAAACCTGGGTGAAAAATAAAGTTAGCAACTTCAGCACATACATAATGAAGGAGCTCCAGGTAGCTGTAATTCAGGTTTGGATTGTTTTAATACAGCTACAGTAATTCAACAAAAGTATGTTGGAGATTTAAACGGTTTCTGAGGATTTCTATAGCAGGCAGGAAACAATCATGATATTCAAAAGGCACTATTCTCAACAAACAAATCATACCATGGAATTGTTAGCTCCCTGCAAAATCTGTAAAGAGTCTTTGAATATAATTGAAGAACCATATTCACATTATTTAATAGATTTCAATATACAGTTGGAAGAATGCCTAACATATAGGAATGATACTTACTTTTATTAGAAAGCAAAGCAATCAAAGGAATGTTCATTTCTTAGAATGATTGCTCTGGAGCCAGGCTGATAGTCAAATAATATATGAATTTGCTACCAATCTTCAAAAATAATATTAATAATATCCATTATATATATACAAACTATATATATAATGGATTCAAACTCAGAGTAAATACAGCAAGCAAAATGGTTTGTTTTCTTAGGTATATAATAATAGCATTGCATCAAACATTTTCAGACTCTGGATATGAACAGAATTGTATGGTCATTGATTGTTTACACACCACAGGACTGTAGAGTTGGTATGAGTTGGTCTTGCCTTGCTACAGGGAAATCTCTGGAACCACATGCCACATCCTCTGTGGATATGTTGTAGACCAATCTCTCATAATGATCAGATATGTATTTTGATTACTATGTTATACAAAGGATTGTTTCTCCTTAAAAATCATCTTAAAACACTCTGCAAGGTACTGCTGAGGAAACACAGAGATTCTGCAGTCATCTTTCTATGCCTGACAGGAAGATAAGATGTCATGCAACTGGCTCCTACAAAGATCCAAAGTAATTTGTGATTTCCTTCATGAAATCATGTTGTTGCGTTTTAGTTTAATATACATCACATTTTTCTATCACACGCAACTGTAAATTTTGTACATAAATTATTTGTGCAAAATTACTTATTACTGCTATATACATAATGAGGAAAAATTTGGAAACTTTTCCTGTTTTTCAGGTGGTCAGCCTTACAATCTGACAATTTGTTGTCTGCGAAGTCTGCATCAAATTGTAGAGGGTGGTATTTTGTTTGGTTTGTAACAAAATGCACCAAGATCATCTTATGCAAATGTGAAATGCATGTACTTTAAGAAATTATCTGGAGCCTGAAATAGTTCATGCACTGAATCATTCTCAGTTAAAGATTGCAGAAAACCAAAATCTTACATTTACCTTTAGCCAACCCCAAAACAGTCATCTGGCAGGATCCCTCTTTCAATACTAAATTATAAGAACTCTGTCCTCTCTCAGCACTAAAACAGAGTTTAGTTAGGCGCCTCCTATACAACTGTGAACAGTTTAATGAAGTCACGTTATAAAACTCCTGATTTGTTGGTTTGCTTTGGCCGTTTTAGAAAGAAGAAAGTTGTGACACCTTCACATCCAAAACCTTACAGTAATATTTGTACTTATTAACTGGAGTATACAAATAGTTGCCTTGTTACAGAACCATCCCTGTAGCACTACAAGCAATTAACATTTATAACTACAAATTTTGCTGAGAAAAAAGAGTATCAGGAATCTACTTCTTCAGAAACAATCATTCTAACAACTAGAGGCCAAATTCTGCCTTCCTTTACAGTCACGCAATCACATTTGTTAACTGTTGTGAGGGCAGAATTTGGCCCCAAACGACATTTTTATCTAAATACATATATTTTCCTACAGAAAAAACAAGTTATGTCTCATCACTGCTCTTCCCTTCTGAAGGGTAAATACTGATATTTGAAATACCTAAATTGTATTTACAGCTGTACAACATAGATGCCTCATAATTGCAAAATATCACTTGTACTTTATAAACATGGGGTAACTTGTACAATTGGCTTAAAATCTTTTCTTAAAATAAAGAAAGAGCAGACAAGCTTAGACATTTTCCTTGTCAAATTCACACACAAAATACATGGTAATATGACATGCAACATCATTCCACCCTCCAGACGCCACCATCTCCACACAGTCCTCCTCGTCATAGGCATTGTTGGGCTCCCCACTGCGCCATTTGTTGAAGGTCTGCATGGGTGATCGGTCAGAATAGACAAAATTTCCCTCTTTCTCTAGGTCATTAATCCCAATGAAAACTCTGGTCAGCCCAGCTTGGTTGATGTACGAGGCAATCAGATTGTTGGCAGTCTCATCCTTGGGCATGCTCAGTGTCCCTCCTCTTCCGTGGCAGTAGAGCTGGGCTTCCTTGTACCTTTTCTCTTCCTTCACCAGCAGATATATCTTATTATCTGTCTCACGCACACCAGCAACAGCTGCGGGGGAGGGCAGTGCTGAAAAGTGAGCACTCGCATTTCTATAAACCAAGTTACTGCACACCCCAAAATAGCTTCACAGATCAGGTGCAGAACGGTGACGCTCTCTACGAGCAATCACACCGGTAAAATGAGGCAACAAGAAAGGAAAATGTTCATATCAATTTAACCTACCATTTTTTATGAATTTTAGTTCTGTTGTCAGCTGGGCCACTTGGATATCCATCTCACCAATAGCCTTCCTTAGCTGGCTGCACTCACAGGGGATGCCTGTGAAGTGACACAGATACACCAAAATTAAAAAGCCTTTTAATTTCAATAATTATCTAAACAATTATAGAAAAAGGCCCAGCCTGGTAGCCCTAGAAAGGGCTGTCTTGCAACTAACAGACAGAAACATAGAACCTTCACTACCCTGCACCATTGTATGGTTCTCAGGGGTGCCTAGGCCTATCCAGAACAGCTCAGTGCACTTCCCACGAAGCTTCAGCCCTGCATGATTAGAGCTAACATAAAACCAGACACATATTCCCTGAAAAAAAACCCAAAACAACAACCAAACCAAAAACAACAAACAAAAAAAAAAGTGAAAAAAAAAAAACAGAACAAAACAAACAAACAAAAGCAAACAAATAAAAAAAACCCCAAGCGAAACAAGCAAAAAAAATATGGAGGTTGTTTTGATCGAGAAATATTTATCAAAATTCCCCATTTTGAGTAAAATTATTCCCATCAGTCTTCTCCAAAGAACACTTTTTCCACAGCAAAAATCTGCGCAGTACATTGTTCACCTTATTCTTCACGAGGAACATAACAAAGCAGATTCAAAATGCTAATGTTCCCACTATGTAACGCATATAATTACCTGCAAAATGTAGTTCTGTACTTTTGAAAGTACAGAAGTTACAGTACTTTTTCCATTAAAATAAGACAATAGAAAACCATCTATTAACCCAAATTTACTTTGGTTTGACAAAGATAATCTGAATGAGAATACTAAAAGGATAATTGTTAGAGCTATAAGCTCAAATCTCAAAATAAGGATCAATCCAGTTCTGTTCATTGAAATCTGCATTTCACTACCCAATTACTCAGTTTAGATATCTAAGTCAGTCTAAGCACAGGGTACTTACACTGCAGAACTGTGATTGATGACTAGGTATATGGTGCTCTGGCTCAAGAATTAGAGTAACAAATTATATTCTCATGATAAAACTATTTGGTGCACCTCTAGTGTCCCTGCCAGGAAGGGAGGAGTTGGGTAAAACCTGAATCTGCCACTTTTGTAAGGCTATACACTTCTTCTGCCAGGCCTTCACCTTTTTCTCTGGAAGATCTGTATTCCTGCCAATCTCCTGCTCCTATAACAATATTCTGTAGAGGGGCAGGAGCTTCCCACCTGCTCCTTTGTGTTAGCTGGAAGCCAGAATGGGAGAGGCAGAGATGTCCCTTTGCACTGGTGATGAATGATATGGACAGTTGCACTTCAGTTCCTGCTAGTCTTCTGGAGTGATCACAGCTCTGAGGAGCCATGAGACATTGTTTTGACAAATGCACTACAAGTCCAGCAACTACTACAGTTTCAATAATTTTAAGTAATGTGAAAATAGTACAGGGAAATATTACAGTGCCTATTCAAAAACTATTCATTATCTCCCCCAATATGTAAACAGGCATGTGTTTTATGCGATGAAGCATGCATCTTGTAAAATCATCCACATACACAAGGTGTGTCATGGATTACCTGGGTCACCATTAGGACCTGGTGGTCCTATGTCACCCATGTCTCCTTTTTCACCTAAAGACACGAAAAAGAATATCAATTTAAGGCAGCTTTTTTGGTCAACAGTTCATTAGCACTAGTTTATTTTTTCTCTAGTAATATTCAAATATGCAAAGTAGAAATAAGCAAAAATACAAATTTTCCTGTCTTAATCATTCCACAAAGGTCAGCCAAAGCTATGAAACTTGAACACAAAGAATATGTACCAATATCCATTTTTTGCAATTCATGATCCTCACAGAACCAATAAGTTCAGATGCTGTAGAGCAAAAAGGGCTGGATATGTTACACCGGTGCCTAAATCTAGATTCATGATCTAGATGTTTAAGTAAACATTGGTCCAAATGATTTAACCAAAGTCACATAGGAAGGCTATGGGGTAGGCAAGATGAGAATTCAAGTCTTTTGGCTCTTAAAGTCTGCCAAAATACAGTGCATCTTCCCATGTGCTGCTCTTGACTGTCCACACTTGCATGATAGTGCACAAAGTTCTTTATTTAACCTTAAACCAGGATTCTTACCCTGCTATAAGGCTAAATATACTGCTGTCAGAAGGAAAGGTAACTGGCTGAGAGATCTCAGTCATCTGGCTGACTACACCAGAGAAACTCCCTGATTGATAAACTCTGAGACTCGTTAACCATTTTTCAAGCCCCTAAGCTTTTCTCAAACATAAATGACTACAGATTTTTCATCTGAAACACAAATGGAGAAAACAAAATTGAACTGAGCATACCTTTTGAACCAATAGGACCGATTTTTCCATGCCGTCCCATGCTGCCTTTCTGTCCTTTGTCCCCCATTTCTCCTATACACAACAGAAAAATGACAGACACAAGGTAGTAGACTGATTCATTCAGATTCCAGCATACTTCAGTATCAGCTTTTACAATGAGTAAAAACACACTATATCCCAAACATTCATTGAACTCCAGAGGTCCAGCTCACTCCTTGTGAAGAACTTACGTATAATACCTAGACAGTGATTTGATCTTTGCAAAGCAATTGACGATAACAAGGCATGAAGGTGTAAATGAAAACAGATCTTGGCTCAGATCCACTGGAAAAGCTTTTGCAAACTCTCAGATGATCATGCTAGAGTCACATTGAAAATAAGGGGGGGGGTTGCATTCAAACATTGATCAGTGGATTAAAACTATTATGGAGTTGACAAGACCTAAAGGATCCAAGCATAAGTGACAACTTCATCTAACATAGCAGCTTCACTGTAACCAAGGGCTGAATTTGGGCTAAATGGCTTATTTATACAATATAAATACTGTGGAAACGGTCACAGCCTCATTCTTTGCTCTTACACTTGAAGATTACATTAATGAAAAAGTGAAAATTAATGGAAATCTTACATAGACATATATATATACACACAGGCACATGCACATGTTCATACAAAATCTGACTCAAGCCAGCAATGTTGAAGTGTAAAGACAGTTCTACAGAATACTTCAAAGTGCAGCTGTAGCAAAGGAGCTGCTAAAAAAGTAATTTTCCTCAGCTGTGTTCTTGCAAATAAAAGGGAAGTATTCATCTCTTAAGGTCAGTTGAAATTGTCAACAAATCTGCATGAACCTATCTGTGTCTATGAAGCATACTCAGAAATCTGATGTAAGACAGGTTGATTCACCTACTTTCTCTGACTTTGACCTCTTTTCTATTAGTTATACTTTCCTGTGTGATGTAAAGGGAATATTAGAATGGCTTCAGGGGAAACAGAATTTGCACTGGAACAGGCAGTCTCTTTGCCATCACTGTCTTCATAGACCAAGCTGAAGCACTGTTACTAATAGAATGTGTGCCACAGACCAAGTACTGATGCCATTGATCTGAGCTCCTCCAAAGCTCAAAGAATGAAACAGATAAAACATGCCTGTTAGGTCACACAGTTTTTCTATATGGCATTTCTCAAACATTACAAAAAATAATTACCTTGATGGTGTGAATCTGAGAAAAGAAATTTAGCCTCTAGCAGCAAAGCCTTATCCAACCCCATGTCTACAAAGCTCATGTACAAGTTTAGGAGATCAGCAGTTGAAATTAATAAGCACTAGTCACCTAATAGAGTAAATAAACCAAGCCATTTCTAGTCAATAAACTCTAAATAGTCTAAGCCTGCCAGATTTTTGCTTTGAAATGATACTTCAGTTCTGGCATTGGTTTAAAGAGAATTCCCTGATCTGTTTTAGGTAGACTTTGAGACCTATGAAACAAGACCTGTCATTTTGTTACACTCACTGTGTAGCGAATGTGGCAGAGTTTGCCTGATGGTGCAGTTCCTATGGCCTGAGCAGCATCAGGAAGGTCTTTTCCAACCTAGTTGATTCTATGATCTCAGTGTACATTGGCAATACCCTTTCCTGGGTGCAACACCTGAACGAATAAATGCTCTACCACCAGATTTAGGCCTCTTTGTATGATTTCAAAGAGAAACGTGGTCTGGAGGCAGCACAGATGTACACTTATGTCATTCATATGAGATAGATTTCCCACTGTACCGCACAATATTAATGGAGACCAGGTACAGAGGAACTACAGGGAAAAGAAGCCAAATGCCTTCTGAGGCTGCCATCCTGCAGAAACCCAAGACCAAGGGAAATATTGATGCAAATTTTTTCAATGACTGTTGAAAAGGTTGTTTCTTTGCTCAAAACAACATCTTTTATACATCGTTCAGCCACACATGAGCAAGGAATCGATGCGACAAGTTAGCAGGAAAATCTACCATAAGGATCCAGCAACCGAACTTGTGTAATTTGTCACAGCTCAGCCTCAGTTGTAGATTTATGACAACTGAAGATCTGTTGTCCTCTGCTGTTACTGCAACTGGACAGTCGCATATTTCGTCTATATATTTTTCAAAGCTGGATAATTTTATGACCAATTATTCAGTACAAGTTTCAGAATATAAACTCATCACCACTGGGCTAAGAGATGTCCTCTTATTACTCTGTGAAATCTCAAGCAACTGTCACTTGATGGCATGAAGTCAGGAAGAAATAATTTCCTCTGAAGTGAGAGAAGCTGAAGGTGTATGACTTGTTGGTCTAATTAATTACTGGCAAATCCTACAATCAATGATTTTCCTTTGTTTCCAACAAGGATCAAATTCAGTCACTACTGGACATGGACTCAAGTAGGAAATTTTACCAGAAAACAAAAATATTTTTCTCTTATGCTGTATATTCCTACTGGAAGAATGGAAGTAATCCACTCTGCCAGCTGAAGATCTACTTTCTGAATATAGCTTCACATTCAGAGCAGATTCATGCCTTGCCCTAAAGATGCAATCCATCCGGCTGTGTGGGTTATAAAGGTACTGATACCACCACTGGATATTTATCCAATACAGACAGTATATTGAGAAGGTATTTTGTCAAAAATCTCTAAAGTATCAGCTTGTAATGAGTTTATTAAGTTGCTCTAAAAGTGACCTTTCTTGCTTTGGATATTTATGAATTGAGATTACCGTAAAAGATAGTCAGATGTTTTAATGCTTTCTCTCTTCAGGCTGCTACACCTGAAATTAAATAAACACATAGACCTAATGCATAAATAAAATATAATATATAAAATGACTTCACGTTCTTTCTCATAGATACTGCCCAGAAAATGAACTACTTCTCTGTAATAGCCAGTAAAAGCTACATGATCTGCTCAGAAGTAAAAGTGTGTTATCTCAAACAATAAAGACATACATTAAGCCTCCTGTGCTCATTAAAAGAACTGTTTGGATTTGGTTTTCTCTTACAGTGACTAACCCCTGCTTCTACTCCAGGGGCCTGCTTATTCTGCTTCTTCTGCAGAATAAATCACAAGGTTTCAAGAGAGACCCATCTGCCTTGAGGGTTTCAAAAGTTTGAATGCCTTTTGTAAAGTCCTTTTTAGTGGCCCTATGATTGCCAAAACTGCAGTCTAAAGAGTCTTAATGAAATCAGGAAGTGAGAGCTGGAAAGAAATGAGGACAATGAAAGAAATTAAGTCTCCATAGACCAAAAGTAGGAAATCTAACATAAAGTTTGAATAGAGAATATGAAGTAAGTCATCTGTCATCTTTCAGATGAAGGTGGTATATACTGAAACCAATTATAAAAGACTTGAAGGATTTTGGGAGGAACTGAAGAGAAGGAAACTCTAAATGATCTTCTTGGTGGCCTTTTCAGGCCAACAAACAAAAGAAATAAAATACCAGAGATAAATGGTGAGCTGCACAACCAGTGAAAAAATGAAGGCTTTGCCTCTGTGCAACATTATAAATGGTGGTCTCCATACAGTGCGGTAAATCTCTTCAGACAGATTAATTGGAACAGACAAGAAGGTTTGAAAGTACTTAAAAGAAAGTGTCAAAAAGACAAACACAGCAGAAACAGAAATTCACCATGTCACAGGTGGATTGAATTGTGTCAAAGTGAAGAGAGCAGTAGTCTACTTCCCAAACTTAGACAAATCAGATAGAAATTCTTCATGATTTGACATAGTGGACATCACAGACAACTATCCACCAACAAAAGCAGAAGTGTACCAAACCAAAGGCCTCTTGACTCTAGTGCAATATTTGACAGCAACCTGCAGAGGATACAAAGAAAAAGAATGCAAAATATAGACCAAGATTAATTTCATTAGTCAACTTGAAAGTTAGGGTTTTAGTCTAAGCTATTTCTCCAACCTCCCTTGGTAGGCAGTGAAGAAATAAATACCTCACAACTCCCACTCATGTTAAACATGCATCTTAATGACAAAGTGAAACTCTACAAGCTTTGTATAAAAAACGGAGAAAAAAAATAAAAAAAAGAGGAAACTTATCAAGCCATACTGACTAGAAATCAGAAAGGCTAGAAAATTTGCAAAGGAAACTAAAGATAGTAAGAAAAACCAATCCAATCTAAAGGCAGCAGAAAAGCTTAAAGAATTTTAAAGTACATTCAAAGAAAGAAATGGAAATAGCATGATCCATTCCTGAAAGGGGAAGGGTATACTCAGATGCACACAAATACAAATAACTTCCCTTACAAAACACATACCTTGCCAGAATTACATTAACAACACAATACCAAGATTGTCCAGACCAGTGGTCCCTCTAAGCCTAAGACTTTGATTCTTACAGTGGCAGTAGAAGGTGCAATACATGGAGATCATGCAACCACAGCCACTACCTGCAGTCCACTGCAGACAGAGCTGCTGAATCAGTCCCCCAGCAGTTTAAGTGACTGTCTCCTAGTTCAGGTATGATGGGATCTAGTGATTCTGTAACCTCGATCATATCCTTCTCAGACTACTCTGTACAGATGCAAGAGTCTCAACCTATCCAGTTTCTCCTTATGAGGCAGGTCCTCCATCTTCTTCACATTTCTGGTGCCCCTTTCTAATCTTTCATGTCCTTTCTGAGAGACAGAGGCCAGAATCACACTCATTGCATGAGATGGTGCATATGTCAGGCTTTTACAGAGAGCAAATCAGCCACAAAAATGAGCTTCCTGTTTTGTCCTTGGTATCTTTTCTGATTATGGGCAGTATTTTGTTGGCTTTGGGACTGCTGCTATATGATTTAAGAGCAGTTCTTGAGTCCTAAGTGATAGTTCTGGGGTTTTTGCATTGTGTAAGTATGGATTAAATTATGGATCCCTCATTTCCCTAGGCAGTATATTTATTTACACTGAAGCCCATCCGCCATCTTTTTGTCCACTCAGTTTAACACTGACTGTCTCAAATTTCTACTGAGTTCAGGTGGAACTGAAAGAGAGTTTTGAAACAGATACCCACTTTGCAAATCCACAACTGTCAATGTCAGGACTTCTATATGGAATCCTGCCTGCAGCACTCCTTAGTGAGCAATAAATTCATGTAAAAGTTGACTCAGAAATGTAAAGGATTGATTGATTACATATTAATGAGCAATCAGTAATACTAAAATATAAATTAAGATATTATCACCTCTCTTTAGAATTTGATTATACAAATGACTGAGCACTCTGGCTCCAATCCAGTTAAATTAATGAGTCTTCTCTCCTACTTAAGAGGCTATGTCTGTACTAGTAAACTAAATGCCTGGGACAGTTCTCCAGCAGTACGAACCAGGTGGCTGAGAATGGTACACTCTGTGATATTAAATTGTCTTATTCTTCAAGCCAGGATAATCACTTGCAAGCTGCTCATTGTGTTATCTTCCAAAATGTGCCCAAAAATTGCCTGGGAAAGTGTTAGCTGGCAAAAGCCAGAATCACTGTGCTAACACTGCAATGGTAGAGACAGCTGAGTTCCACCCCTAAGAATAGTATGCAACTCTGCTTCGCATACCATTATAATGAAGTATAAATGAAGTCCAGTGTATGAAGGCTGAAATTAAAATACTAAAATAATATATTTCCAAATGGTTATGGCTCTAAGAAAATTAAAATATCTCGAGGAACACAATTTTAATGTGCTGCTCCTTTGATTATGTATTCCAACAGTAAATTCACCCTCAATTCACCCTTATTTTGATTGCCATAAGCAGAATCCATGCTACTCTGGGAATATGGACAGGGTTGTATTGTTAGTAAAGTATCTGTGTGGAATTTGTATATATGGAAGTTGTTATGGCCTCACAGATTGGATCATGACTCATATAACTGAGTTCACTCCCAACATGGGAACATGCAGTGCAGCAATCAGTGCAAGTGGGAAAAGTTACATTATTAACTTCACACCCCAAAACTTGCACTGCTGCTATCATCGAATTAGCTGTTGTACATGAGCCAGTGCTCTATGCTTTGCAGAAGGCCAACAGAGTTTTATATTCTGCTGACATGCTATGCATCATAATTGACCTATACAATTAATTAAAAGCAATGAGGAATGTAAGTGGAACTTAACCTTAATCAGTGCCCAAAGACATCAGGATGTCTGATGTCACCCTGAAACATCAGGACACTCAGAACCAGATATGTTTCAGGTAAGCACCAGAAAGTTCTAATGTTTATCTGTTTCTAATCTACCAAGATCTGAAAAGATCATGAGGAAAAGAGATAATAAAAACATTTGCAGCATTTTCTAATCTTGAAGTGTTCATTTCAGGTCAATACCATAAGAAAACCTTTTCTTTTGTAAGTTATTTATTCACTGATTATTGTATACCTAAGGAGGCGAAAGACACTAAGCCCATTTTCTTGGGGGGAGGGGGGGGGGAAATTACTGTGATTGTGATAATGTAAATTATCACCAGAAGGAGAAAACTCTACAAATGTCACAGAAGAATTAGTTTCCCCCTTATGTAAACCATCACTTACTCAATTAGCAGAAAAATACAATGAAATTTAGCAGTTTCCATCAACAGAAGGAGCCAAATATTAGCCCAACAAGACAATAATTACCAGGCTTTAATAAGTACAAGGCATCAAACATATGTTAACACAGTGACTGCAGTTTAATAGAAACAGGGCTGCTGTGTTCTTTCATGTATGCTCTTAGAAAGGGGCAAATCTAAAGTGAGGCAACAGTTTTATCCATCTTTCATTATCCACTAAGCTACGTATTAGTTTAGTGTGTGGTGTCCCTGCTCATGGCAGGGGGGTTGGAACTAGATGATCTTAAGGTCCTTTCCAACCCTAACTAGTCTATGATTCTATGATTCTATTAAGTACCTGGACCACAGGTCTAAACTTTACATTGAGATTTTAAAATACTTGGCCAGCACTTAAAAGGACATTAAAGTTGCATGCCTATCAAGAGACCAAAAAAAGATAAAAAAAGCAAAGACAACAGCAGGTCATGCATAGATATTAGATAATCTGTCCAGGAAAAGGTGATGAACCAGTTATTTGGGGAGGACATAATATTCACTGTAAAGAACAATTGAACTGGGGACTACTTCACTTGCATGTACACAGGTCCACGGTACTGGCCAAAAGGCATTCCAAGGATGCTGGGAGGGTTAGCTGATGCTGTTACAAGGCTGTCAAAGTCTAATCAGCAGCTGATAATGAGAGTTGAACCAATCCTTCATCAGTGACAGGAAGGAAGAAGTGGAAGGATCCTCTGTGAGTCTGCAAGAAACCCCATGCTGGCAGGAGTGGTAGGTGTGCTGGAGGACAGGGCTGCCAGTCAGAAGGAGCTTGACAAGCTGCAGGAACGTGTTGATGGGAGTATCATGAGTTCAGCCAGATACCAAGTTCCTCACTTGTGAGACACTGATGAAGACTGGCCAATGGCTTGCTAAAAAAATCCTTTGCATAAAACGTACCAGAGATTTTTGGGCACTCATACAAGAGAAGCAAACTGGAGTCCAGCTGAGAAGATGGTCTTATTTAGCTTGGAAAGGTAAGGTAGAACCTAATTGAAATCTTGCACTACTACAAGTGGTTTGTTGAGAAGATGAAGCCTTCTCTTCTGAGACACATACACTGAAAGGACAAGAGGCAACAATCACAAGCTACAAGAAAAATTTCAGTTGGCTTTAAGGAAAAGGTCTTTCACAATGACACTGGTGAACAGACCGATCGAAAAGGATATGGCATCTCCATCCTTGGAGATTTTCAAAAGTCTACTGGACATGACCCTGAGCAACCTGATCTAAGTTTGAATCTGCCCTGTTTATACAGGAGGTTGGACTATATGAGCTGTTTATGTCCTTTTAATTTAAATTATTATGTGATACTTTAACTGCTCTTCATGCAGCATTACCTTGCAGGAGTTAAAACTTTAGCTTCCAGTATTTTTTATAAGAATCATCTTTAAAGAGTACATCTCCATAAGGGAAATACACTGACTGAACACACACACTCCTCATGGGAGTTACAAATTTTTCAATGCATTGTAAGGGGAAGAGCTCTAGGATTCTGGTCCCAGGAAAAACTGCATGTATCAGACTCCTGTAATTGCCCAGGAGAACTACATAATGGATCATGCATCATCATAAGGAACTATAAATTACCACCATGATTGCTTTGAAAGGAAGTTTGTATATTCAGTTCAGTAAAAACTAACTCCATCGTTCTGATGACAGGAATGTCAGATGTTTAATTTCAGTATTGAAATACAAGGTTTTGACTACTCCTAATATGAATTTTTCAGAATGTACATCTCCTGGAAACTTATGAAAGTCAAACTTCCTCCTTGCTTCAGGAAAAGAAAACAACCAGACAAACAAACAAAACCCCCCAAAAACAACAACAAAAAAAAAAAACCCAACCAACCAAACAAACAAACAACAATCAACCAACCAACAAACCCCACAAAAACAAACAAAAAAACACCCCAGATTTAAAAAGACAGAATTTCCTGTACGACAGAAATGCCACATTTCTCTCAGTTGTGTAACTGAACACTACTGAGCAACATTCCTCTGAAGAGCTCAAAATACTTTTGAACTACAATGCAAGCAGCATTACCACCATCTTTCCATAAATACTACTGAACTGCATACAAGAAAATGTAGAACTACTCATGGCCATCTCTGCCTATTATAGCTTACTGCCTTCCCTCAAGGGTTTTAATTAAGGTAATTGTGAGTGCTCACATTTACAAACAAAAGGAAACAAGAAAATTGAGCCTCATGATTTTTCCCTCTGATCTGAGGTTTTCATTTGCAGAAGGAAATTTATGAAGTCACAGAGACCTTTCTAAATGATCAAGAATATTTTTGCCAAAGTTAATCTTTTTTACCAGAAAACAATAGTTAGTCTACAAAGTGCATACTGTTGTACTGGTTTTGCCTAGGACAGAGTTAATTTTCTTCATAGGAACCGGTAGGGTGTAATATTTCTGATTTGTGGCCAAAACAGTGTTGATATGGGGATGTTTTAGTTATTGCCAAGCAGTGCTTATATACAGCACCAAAGCCTCTTCTATTTCTCACTCCACCAGTGGGTGGGGTGGCTGGGGCTGCACAAGAAGCTGGGAGGGGACGCAGCCCCCACAGCTGACCCCAAATGACCAAAGGAATATCACACAGCATATGGCATCATGCTCAGCAGTAAAAACTGAGGGAAGAAGAAGGAAGTGGGGGACAGATGTTTGGAGAGATGGTATTTGTCTTCCCAAGCCACTGTTACCTGTGATGGAGCTCTGCTTTTCTAGGGATGGCTGAACACCTGCCTGCCAATGGGAAGTGGTGAATGAATTCCTTGTTTTGCTTTGCTTGCATGTGAGATTTTTGCTTTACCTATTAAACTGTATTTATCTTAACCCACAAGTTTTCTCACTTCTACTTTTTCAATTCTCTCCCTCCTCCCACCTGGGGGAGTGAACATGTGGCTGTGTGGGGCTGAGCTGCCAGTGGGGTGAAAACACCACAATGGTACATGAAAATGCCCAAGCATGATTTAGTCACCTCGCAACGGGCCAGAAGATCCCCATCATCATTGCCTTACAAGAAAAGCCAGCATTTGGTCAGGAATGACTTTCAAGACATCTTCTTTAATAAAGTTACCTTTTTCTCCTGGAGGTCCAACTCTGCCTGGACGACCTGGAGCACCTTTCTCCCCCTTTTCTCCAGCCTCCCCTGTTGATACAAAAGGAAACAAAAATAAGAATCATATTAAACCTGGACTTTTCTCTGTTGGTGGCAGTGACAAGAGTGTCATTCTCCCCAGCCAAAATAAAAACCTACTGTTACAAGACAGGAAAAAACTAAAAGCAGATGCACTCTGACTTAACAGATTTTCTTGATGCATCGAGAACAATGTCTCCTGAAACTGAGGTGAACACTGACAAAACCACCAATAATACATTAGCAAAGTCTCATACAATGGGTCTAGTTTTGTGGATGTTACTCATATTATCAACCTCCAAAAAGCCCAACAGCACAATTCAGGAGCTTCAGAATTAGGACCCAAGTTAGCACTGGGTCCAAAGGCTTCCCAAGTACCTGCTAAGGATATGCTTAAATCTCAAATGAAAATGCCTTAACTATAACATCAAATCAGGAAAAAAATCCATATTCTCCGTTATTTGCTGTGCCTTTTAATCTCTGTGGTACAAACCACTGTGCATTGTACTGACATACACATGGCTCATGCCACATTATTATATTCAGCATATTTAAACATCAGTTTCTGGAAACGTTTGCCTCTTTGCTGCCTTTCATTGGAAATTTGAGGAAGCTTAGCTTGTTTCACTCCCTGCTACTGTACTACTAATGTAGTTTGCCACTGACATAAAATTACAATCTCTTAAACAAATTAACAGAAGTTTAAAGAATGATTTACATAGACACCTTCACAAAAAAAAAGATTTATATGAAGAAGCAGCAAGTTCTATGGTTTCCACAGACAAGAAATGCCAAGATGTAAAAGCCAGGGCTAGCAGAGCACACCTGATGCCCAATGCTGTGTATCTACAGAGGAGAGTGAGCAATAGCTGCTCTCCAGGAAGCTCAAGGGAGCACCATAGGAGGAAACTCAACAGTCATACACCCCTCAAGCTCTGCTCTCTGGCATAGCTGGCAGCTGTGGTTCAGAGATGAATCATAGAAATGACATGTAAAAACAAGCCACAACATGACATATTTCAAATACGCAGCCTCCAGCTCTCTCTCTCTTCTTATTGCAGACATAGGTGGCTGTGAGCTGAACTTGGCCCTCCATCTGTTATATTTTCCTTCTTCAGGCTGCCAGCAGACTCCAGACCTACCTTCAGACATCAAAAGTAGGCCATTCTTTGACCTTAATGAGGACAAACTTCACATAATCCCCAGCGAATAATATTGTTAGTATGAAACAGGCTATTATTTGGCACATTTGGGAACGTCACTTTTTTTATTATCAGGTAACCAATAGGCTTTGTATGATTGCCTTTCCCCCCTCAGGGCTGGTTATGAGTTCTTTGCTTCCCAAAGATAAATCCTGACAATGACTTTTCCCTGCTCTCTGGAGGCTGAGAGCAGGCTATTACAGCCTATTGCTTTACATGTTCTTCAGAGTGAAAGCTGTGCATTAGGGATCAATAAAATAGATCACTCTTGCTTCAGGCCATTACACTTGCCTGCATTTATTCCTATAATAAGATGACACTGCATTCCTTAGTGTAGGTGTTTAAGAAACTTTCCCTGGGAAGAGATTGCCCCATTACAGGCCCAGCTACAAACCACTCTGCATTTTTTGTTATCTGCTATTTCAAGCAGTAAGACCTTGGCCAAGGGGGACTGATCAGTGGTCCAGTTCAGCTTTGCTGTGTTTAAGTCCCTAATTTTGTTGGACATACCATGAGCACTATGCAAGCTGAGGAAGCAAAGTCGGTGCAAGTGTCACAGACAACAAAACAGATTTCTGTCAAGGCATTTCAATCAATTTCATTTATCATCAATTAACACTAACTTTTGATTCCTCAATTAGGGAAAAAAAAACAAAAAACAACAAACAAATTGACTTAGAGCAAGGACATTAAACATTACATCCAGTCACTTTGGAGCAAGAGGTTGGGATCAGTGCATAGTGGTCTCTACCCAGCTGCTCTGGTATGGTCTCCTCCAACAGCAACAGTCCCTTTGCACCTGTACCTCCTGCTCAGTCTCCTCTCCATCCCTGCCTAGATGGCTCTTCACTCTAGCCCTTCTGCATGAAAGAGTACCTCCCTCCTCAGTGCAATGCAGCTCTTGCCCAGGCAGCTGAGACAGGGTGAGATGTGCCCACCAGTGCTCCACAGTGTTGCAATGCCCCATACTCCCAAAAGAAATCTAGCCCTGATACTGAACTGAGCTGCAGCAGGATTGCAGGTATTGGGCACAACCCTGACACCACTACAAACTCCTTCCATTATCTCTGATAGAAATCTTTCATAATTCAGATTATATATCTTACCACTGCTGTCGATTTGCCTCCTTTTGTTAATTCTTTGGGACAGATTTGTTTCTGATTATGTTTGCATCCTGCCTATGTTAAGCTGTACTATCTACTATAAAGAAAATAGCATGCCAAATATTAACTACACGATTTATTAAACATTTCCTGGCTAATGATAACTTTATTTCTTTACTCATATTCCCTGTGTGAGTAGACAAATGAAGTGTGGGTGTAAAAAAACTGGGTTTATTTTATTTATGTAGTATCGCTTTTATGTGCTGTATGCCACTGAGAGTATTAAAGACAATTCCTGCCTTAGATTCTAGAGGAGAGACAAAACAAGATGGCACACCGAGAATTTAAGCTTTGAAGGATTGTTCCATGTTATTTTTTTCACCACAATAATAGTAACTTCAATCTCATGGGCCTATCAAAAAGAACCAGACTTCAGGAAGAATATGAGTAGCAATGTAGTGAGGCTTCATCATCCATCCCTTCTTTAGACACAACACGCTTTTGCCATTATTAAGTTGGCTTTCTAAAACATGGATCAGTCTGCTGTCTGGATTCTCAGAGCCACAGTATTTTTCCCTTCCACAGTTCATCTTACTCCTTTACACTGTTTAGGTTATTAAAAAAAAAAAAAAAAAAATCAGTCCCTAAGACCTAAGCTGCTGACCTTAAACTCATTTGTGCCTTTTTCTATTCTTGGTGTCTTTACTGGCTTTCTTCATCTTCCATTTCCACCTCCATTCTCATCTCATCCCCCTTCAGATTCACCCTTTTATTCTGTGGGGTCCTAATTGGCTTTGTGTTACTTTTTCTTTTTTTTTTAATTTAATTTTATTTTTTTAGTTTCCAGTCTCTCCACTCAGTCTCATTCTTTGTGCCTTTCTTTTCCCTTTACCTCTTCCTGTTCTTCTAAAATTTCTCCATTATGCTCCCCCACTTTTGGGTACTTTTCTCCTTCACCACCCCCTATTTGGGCTCCACTTTCTCACCAACCTCTTAGGCTTAATCCTCTCCTCCTGTTTTTTCCCTTTCACACATACCACAGTCTGCCTCATTTCTTCTGCTTCTTCTCTGTACCTATTTTTCCCAAACCCCAAGCAGGCTGGTGCTCAGCAGCAGTGTGGGGCTCTGCTCCTCCATCATCAGAGATGGTGTCGGTAGTCCAGCAGAGGAGATGAGGCAGATCTAGAAGCTGCAGTGAGCAAACCCCACTGCGTGGGAGCCAAAATTTGGGCACATGGCCACATATATGCTCAGTTTAAAGGAAGCCTTGGCCACCGAAATGGGTTGGAGTTGTGCCAGAGGGGGACAGCAGTATCTCATTACCAATTTCAGAGCCAGTCCCCCTGGCAGTGCAGCTGGAACATTGATAGCTTTTTAGGGGTTTCACATTAACTAGGGCTGTATCAGGCCATTTTGTGCTTCACTGAATTTATACATCAATCTCTCACTTTTGCGAGACTTACATCTCATGAAGCAGAGTAAAATCATTAGCACCTGATGGTTTTCAGGCCTCTCTGTTGTTTCCTGGCTCAGGATTGCCTTCTAACAAAGGACCAGGATCCTGCACTGCTTATGTGTTTAAAAACTCTGCTGCATATAATAATAATAATAACTGTCCTCACATAGAAATGGTAATCATAGGTGATAATTTTGACTGATTACACAAATAAGGAAACTAAAGCAGTTACAAAACTTGTGAAAGCCTGTCAACTTCTTTGAAATGAAAAATCATTTCAAAGCTTTGGTCCCCAGTGCTGTGGAGTCTGACCCTTTCACTGATCTTCCCTGTAATTTTAGACAACATATATTTAATTTGATTGTGTTCTTCTCTGTGACTCACATCAACAGCACTGTCTTATGCCTATTTCACAGAAAATATATCAAACAAGTGAAACGACTTTACTCAAGGCTTAGTCAAACCTCAGAAGACTTGGATATAGTTCTTTCTAACTGGAACATCTGCAGAAGGTGAAAATATTAAGACTTCAAAGCCTGCTTCCTGAAGTAAAATAAAAAAAATACAGATTTTGGTTCAGTTCAGGCATCCAACGCTGCATCAATAATAATAATAAGCAAAACAGGAGAGCTTTTTTGGTCCTGACACTAACTGGCCAAGCACAATAGCCCAATTCTTGTGCTTCCAACACAGCACAAACACATTCAAACAAGGCAAGGTCTGGCAAGGGCAGTTTACACCACAGCCAAGCCTGTGGACAGGCTGTGCTCACAATTCAACTGTAAGAACAATCGCAGGACAGAACTGTTCAAGGCCAGGTTGGACAGAGTCTTGGGCGACATTGTCTAGTGTGAGGCATCCCTGCCTGTGGCAAGGGGTTTGGAACCAGATGATCTTAAGGTCTTTTCCAACCCAAACCATCTATGATTCTACGAGTCTTGCCCTCACCAATCTATTAATCAGCACAGAAAGCACCTGCAGTCCATACTATGGTGCTCAGGCCAGGGTAAAGCCCACATTTATACTAGATGACATTAGTGGCACCAATATTGCTAGGTGAGTTTTGTGATACTACAATGCAAAACTACCAGAAAAAATTGAAGGCTAGTTGTGCAGCTTTTATCATAATAATAATATATTTGGGCAATAGTTTGGACACATATTTCGTAAAAAAGTTGCTTTTGTCCACAGAAACTATAAAAATGCCAAAAAAACAACTGATTTTTTATTTCTTCTAAAGGCACTTCAGCACTTAAAAATCAAGGGAAGATAAACATAAGACTAGAAAATACAAAATACTTCTCATTATATTGCAAACCAGCAATTAAAACCTTTCCAGGCATAAAGTAGGGCCTGATTTTAAAGTCTTTGGGTATGTGTACCACTCGCTAGTACAAACACAGAGAAAGCGACCAGGCAGTGTGTCAGAGCAACAAGCTCCTGATCAGGAGCAAGTGTGGGAAACTTTGGCATGCATTCTCTGAACTGTGTTTATTTTAACCGACTTCAGTTCATCAGACGGACCTTAAAACTCCATTTTTAAGGAGGCTACAAATGGGGCAAGTAAGAGGACAACTGAAAGGCACCTTCTTTGTCTCTATTAGAAACTGTCAGTGGTGCAAATGAGCCTGTTAGAAAGAAAGGATTAGTATTTGAATGATGGAGTAGGCTTCCACATTACCTTTGAGGCCTGGAACAAGAATTTGAACAGAGCAGGACTCCTCTGCAATATGTTGAGGATATCCAGACCTTAGCAGTGACAGGAAGGCAAGGCTAATTAGAGTCACCAAGAAAACCAGATCTCTCTTCATAATGAGCACTTACAGGTCACTGACTCCTAAACAAAAGAATGAATAAACAGTTATAAGAATTCCAAAGACTTTCAACAGTTTCTGAACATATGCAGCATCCCACTACAAACATTTAGTATTTTTGCATGCCATAACCCACACAGCATGAGGAGGACATGTGCAGGTCCTTCAAGCAAGTTGTGTGTTCCACAGGCATACATGAAACATGCAGCAGACATTCAGCAGTTTATTTTGGTGTTAGACTGGGTAACATAAAACTCAGAAGAAATTTAGTTAAGAAATAGGAGACTAAGAAATGCTAATAACAGGCAATTCCGTGTTCACAATTTCTCATTGGAGGCAGGGATCTGGACAGGTCAAAGGGGAAAATACAGTACATGGGCTTGCACTGAAAGTTGTTAGTACTAAGTTGCCACTTAGAAAGAGTACATACTGCTCTAAAGAGGCAATTCAGTATACGATAAGACCAACCTAAAGGCCTGAAATTTCACTATACATCTACCTGAGCACCGAAATCATGCCCAGCAAATTGGCTGATACAATAGCCCTCATGGAACTCATTGAGGGTGGAAGGCAGATAATATTTCACTGTATCATGCAACGAAGTTACATCAGAGCCTTCAATAAATCCTGTAAAGATTCATCTCTGAAACATACCCCTGTCTAAGCCTACAAGTGAAATGGCTTGCCTGGTATTACACTGTGAAGACATCTCTCAGAAAACAACAATACAGAAATTGAGTTTGTGTGAAAGGACATTCAAAAGCTGGTATTTAGAGGGCCTGTAGAAATACTTTTTTACAAAAGTGTTATTTATTTGCTTCTCATATGTTTTTCCAGTCCTTCTTTCACCAAGTCTCTGTACTACACAAACAAGCTGAAAGTCATATCAGGGTTTCAAGAGAAAGAACCTGTATATCATCTTTTATAGCCACAATACAGACATGTACATTTTACACCTAGAGCAAGAGAATCGGGCTGTATTACTCTGCACTCCCTGATTCCCTTCAAAAATAAGCCAGGTAGGATTAGGCACAGGTGTGGGGCCAATATATGGGTCTGTGTGTCTCACCATGCTGGGGATCTAGGATGGTGGATTTGTTATTTTGGGGACAGCCTGAAGGTATAATTGCCCTTCAGCAGGGATGGGATAATAAGGAGCTTCAGGTTGAGAATGTCCTGGTGAAGCAGATACCAAAATTTATGGTATGGAGCAAGAAGGCAGCAGACTGCCCTCCACGTGCAGGAAAAATCGTGTTTGCCTGTACTAGTCAAGGCCTCTGTTTCCACCTCATTACCTTTTAGTCTAGCGGATGACAATACAGACTATCTTAATAAAGATGCATTTTGCACCCTTACCAACACTCCTGTCAGATTACTAAGTACTAACGTAATTTACAAAGTCTCCTCTCACATCTGAGGGTGCAAGTGCTGGAGGGACAACACTCACTCATACACAGATGCTTAAAGTATTTTTTTCCCTTTTCAAGAGTGCTCACTTCCCACAGTTTTAATTATGATACCATAACTAAGATGACTGCAGCTCATCTATACATGTCTGAATCAGCTTTAAAATACCCAGCTTGGGTATTGCTAGGAGCAGAAGCCACAGAAGTACAAACCTTGGCTGCTCAAGTATTTAGGCCACATCAAGTTTTGTCACAATTGCAGGAACATCACTCAAGGCTTCTCTAGAGTTCAGGCAAAACTGAATTTTGCCACTCAAGGATGAAGAACCAGAGCTGGAAGAGAAGGCACATCATAAAGGTGGACATAAAGAACAGTAACAGCTGGCGGGGAAATGGAAGAGTAAAGGGTATTTGGATGTAAAGCTTCTATTGCCATGGAGAAGAAGCAACCAGCCCAGATTCCCAGAGTTCTGACAGACAAAAACAGTAAGAAAACATCTGCTGTGCTGCTGTCCTCTTCTGTCCTGGGCTGCTGCCTCCTTTGCCTACACAGACAGAGAGCCCAAACTACTAGAAACCACATCAGGCCACTGGCCACTTCACAGCTATTTTCTAAGGTTATACAAACTATTTGACCACAGTCTTGAAGTATCAGGTCTCTGTGATAACGCTCTTCTCCCACATATCCTCACATGAATACCAAAGAAATTACTTCACATACATTGAGCTTGAATCTGGCCACACACCTCCCCAGATGAAGATCCTAACTCCAGGGTACAAGGCACTGTATCTTGGTGTTCTTTGTGGTCTAGAGGAGCTCACATTATCCACAGTGGATGGTCCTGCCTCTTTTTGCCAAATCCATGATTCACAAGAGTCAGCAAGCAAAGAGAGAGCAACAAAAAATAGCCAAGAGGAATGGTTGAGGAAAAGGGTGTTTCTCCAGATCTTCTTTTCAAAGGCTTCTATGGCCAGTCTTAGCACTTAAATAGTGCTGGTAGACTGGAAAGTGAGGGGATCCATGGCAACAAAAGGCTTCACAATGCCAAGTTAGGCACCGATGCTCCCTATGTGGGAAAGCAGTGAGTGTGGTTACCTCAGCCAGCCAGAAGGAACTTGTGCCTGGAAGTCTCTTCCAGACACCTGAACATAGGTTTTTAACCCTCAATAGTGGTAAACTTTGAAGGACAGGGAGTGGGACCATCCTGGATGACAGCCACATTGATGCTCTGTGGGCTGAGCAAAGAGAGGACCTGCCTGCCTTAGCCTGCAGCTCCCACCCCACAGCCCAAGGCACCACCTGGCCACCAGCCTGCAGGACATCCTAGGCACGGTGTCCCACTATTTCTTTGTAGCAGAGACACTTCAGGATCCAAAAGAAGATTAGACAAAGAGTCTTTCAAGCCAAGCACTTCAGATACACAGCTGAAAGCCTACAGTTTCAGCATGAGCACCCAGCAGGCTGGTGGTAAGGATTCTTGACAGACAAGTCCAAAAGGGGAATGAAATAGCCTGAGACAGAAGAAGGAATTGAAATTAGGAGGGTGCTTCAGACTGCATTAGTGAATAAAAAAGCAGCAACACCTCCTCTGGTTGCATTTTGTGAGGTTTTAGATGTATCCAGACTAAAGCTGAAACATCAAAGCCTCCAGGTACATTAAATATTAATCTGCCTTTGCAAACTCCTACACAGCTCAGAGATGATACAGGCATGAAACAGCAGAGAACTGTCAGGGTTGCTTGGTGGCTCTGCTCAGCAGCAAGTTGTGAAGGATCTTCTGGGGAAAACAAAACCTCCAACGAGGCTTCATCACATTCCCCACTGCCTGCTACTGCTGCAGAGCTTAAGAGCCTCAGAGACACAGGGGATACACCTCACCCTACCTCATGATAGCTCGACTCTCAGAGAAAATGGACTTGTTCTATAAAATGGAGCTTCTTAGGGTCAGTCAGGTCACAACACCCAGACCCACATTAATACTTGGGAAATTACCTTGGTCTGAGAAGAGCCACCAACAGAGGAAATCTCTGAAGAGGTTGCAGATCAGATACTTTATAGAGTCTGAAGCTGCAGTAGAGACACACATTAGTAGTAGAAATCAAACCAAAATCACTTTGGATATCACTTTCTCTGCCTTTTTCTGCTTTAAAAAGAAACCTTCTCTTCTATAGTTAAAATTGCCTTATATGATTGAAATAAGAGCTTGATTTCCAAGTATGTGCTACAGCAGTATCTTTCATTTTAAAGTCCCGGAAAATTCCTTGCCTTTTTGACCTACCTTCATGTCCTTTCAGCCCCAGATTCATAAAAGCATTTAGAAAACTAAATCCCACTGAAACTGGTCCTCAGAAAAAGGTGCCAGCCTGCTTTTTCAAACACAATTTTATCTTTGGTATTTGGAGTATCTTCAGCACTGATAAAACCAGTGCCAGAGAGAAACCTAGAGATGTTCAGCACTTGGAAAAGTATGAATATTTTCTCTGTCTACACAGGGGTCAGGAGTCAAATTTGCAGCACTAATAATGGTGGTCATTAAATCAGCATAAAAAAGGGGGAAAAAAAGGAAAAGGAAGCAATTACATGGCCTTTCCTTAAAAAGACCTGCCTCAGTTGCCAAGACAGAAGAGGTTTATTAAGCCAGGCTTCAAATTACAAGTCCTTGACAGGTCATCAGAGAATCCCCAAAGCACCATAGGCTCACTCAGAACTGCTGCAGGATGGGCCAGGCAGCTGGCATCCAGCACTCCTTGAGCTCCCCATCTTGCCACCATGAGCTGTGAATGGAAAGGCTGAAGATCACTTCAGCCAGCAAATGCCTGGTGCTGGAAGACCCTGTTCCACAAGGGCTGGTGGCTTATTGCACACTGTTATTTTGGACCTAGAAGCAACAACACAGATAATCTGCCCAGATGAATCCAAATGGCTGAGAAATGCAGAAAGAAAATGCTGCTTGCTGGCATCAATTCTCAGCAAGCCAACAGCTACAGAGTGGCTGTTATCCTCTGTATAATCCTAAGGGGCTCCTCTTGGATCTGTTTTTATTTCACTATTACTGAGCTGTTTTCACTCATTATGATTTTTTAAACTATACTTCATTCTCAGGGATCTGAGCTGAATTATGTATATTCTGAGTTGAGAATGTTCCTGGTACAGGCAGGCACAAAAATCTGCAGAGCCACAGCCATTTGGTGGGTGATTTTCCCAAGCGGGTTTGAGTCAGCACAACAGATGAATCAACAGCTTTCAATGGTTTTCACTCTCCTGACTTTTCCAGTCCTCGTCATCTGCATCCCCAACACCTCCCGGAACTATCTGGCAGCCTGTGTATCCTCAAACGCCCCTGCAGGCCCAGAGCCGCATCCTAACAGATGCAACACATGCCCACACAATCATGCCAGTGAAATGCCAGGCTGTGACACAGACCTCAAGCTATTTCAAACATTTTGAATAGATAAAAGCCCCCCCCAAACCCCCAAATTAACTCCCATGGCTACAAGGGCAACACCACCCGGGCTCAGCACAGATCAGGGATATGTTTCTAGGAAAGCAGGGACCCACAGAAGGGACAAGCCTCAAGCGTGTGCATACAAGCTGC